TCCTGCTGCATTTCCATTGCTCCTGGACCATGTCCTCATTATAATAATTATCTCTTAGTATCAGCAGGCATCACGATCCTCTGAGGAGGCTTTTTAAAAGTACATGCACTTGGCTCCCCATCTCAGGAGATTCTAATTTGCTAAGTTTGGGTTTTGGACAGGGAATTAGTATTTTTAAAGAACCCCTCCCCCAACCCCGAGCATTAGTATTTGACAGTATGGAGGATAATATATCCTAAAAAACAAACCAAAAATCTTGGTAGAAACCTAAAAATGCTGGATTAGTAATGATGATGATGATGATGATGTGGGGGGGGGGGGGTTGTGTAAAAAAGGAAAAAAAGGAATAGACAAGAACATAAGGATAATCTTCAGAGTCAATAAAGGAATTGATAAGAAAGCACAAATCCAGAGAGGTAAGCAAGCTGAAAGCAATACATGAGCTGGGGAACCTGCCTCCATGAGCATCATTAAGCACTGGTTTTAATAAGCCAAACACAGGAAGAGAGACAGACTAGGACTGTAGGACTATGCAAAAGCAGGCTGGGCAACAAAGACTAAAGCCAGGAATCCATCCTGCCCTCCACAACCCCTGGAGAAGTCAGGGCCCTGGTCAGTGAAGCCAGCCCTGCAGAGGGAGAGAGAAGGGACATTTGCCTGTCCTGGCTCCAAGTCTGGGTGAAAGACAGTGACAAAGAGGTCTCTACTGAGAGTTCTTAACTCCAGGCCTATCCGCAGGTATTTGGGGGCCAGAATTCATAGCTGTCTTTTTGGTTTGAAACCACTGTGAACACAAATCCTCCCTGGAGGCATGTATTTTAAAACCTGGCATCAAAGAGTTCTCATAGATAAATCTCCAACTCTCTTGCCGCCCCCCCCCCCCCCACAGACACACACATATACACACAGTTGCAAAATCTATCAAAAAACAAACCCTGCAGAAGTCAAAATGAATTCAACCCCAAAAGACCGACTATTGAAAACATTACATAAGAACATAACACAGACCCACAGACTAAGAAGTAACAGGGAATGGGTGGTGGTTTAAAAACATCCCCAAATTCTTTCACGCTCCTTCCATGAAAAGGTAGAGTCTAATCCTCTGCCCATTGAATGATTCATTCGATACCAACCTGCCTCACACTGTTTGCTCACTTTGAGAGAACCCAGTCTCCATGAGACAAGGACACTTGAGAGGCCTCCATGAAGGGTCAATAAAGCCCCCAGCCTACATCAGGCACCAACTTGCCAGCTATGTGAGTATAACTTGAAAGTCAATTACACAGCCTCTTCAATAAATGGTGCTGGGAAAACTGGATAACCACATGCAGAATGAAATCAGACCCCTATCTTACACCACTCATAAAAATTAACTCAAAATGGATTAAGGACGTATACATAAAAATTGAAACTGTAAAATTCCTAAGAGAAAATATATAGAAAAAAAAGCTCTTCACTTTGGCAATGACTTTTTTGGATATGACACCAAAAACACAACCAATAAAAGCAAAAATTAAATGAGTGGGACTGTATCAAACTAAAAAGCTCTGTATAGCAAAAGAAACAACAAAATGAAAAGGCAACTGATGAAATGGGAAAGATATTTGCTTAACCGACTGAGCCACCCAGGCACCCCTATGAAAGATATTTGAAAATCACATATCTGACAAGGAGTTAATATCCAAAATATATAAGGAACTCATACATCTCAACAGCAAAACAACAATCTGATTAAAAAATGGGCAGAGGACCTGGAAAGATGTTTTTCCCAAAGAAGACATACAAGTAGCCAATAGGTACATGAAAAAGTATAGCCATCACTAATCATCAAGGGAATGCCTATCAAACTACAGTGAGATGTCACTTCACCCCTGTTGGAGTGGCTGTCATCAAAAGGACAAGAGGTAACCTGTACTGGCAAGGATGTAGAGACAAGGGAACCCTTGCGCACTGTTGATGGGAAAGTCAACTGGCATAGCTATTAGGGAAAATGGTATGGAAAAATTAAATACAAAACTACTATATAACCCAGCAACTCCACTTCTGGGTATATATCCAAAGGAAATGAAAACAAGATCTCAAAGACACATCTGCACTCCCATGCAGCATTCATTATTCACCCTGGCACTATTCACAATAGCCAAGACGTGGAAACAACCTAAGTGTGACCAGACAAATAAAGAACATGCGGTATACAGAGTGGAATATTATTCAGCCATAAAAAGAGGGAGATCTTGCCATTTGACACAACTTGGATGGACCTTGAGGACATTATGCTAAATGGCATAAGACAGAGAAAGACAAATACTATATGGTATCACTTATATTGGGAAATCTGAAAAAGCTCATAGGAAGTGTAATGGTGGTTACCAAGGACTGAGGGTGGCAGTGAGAGGGGTGGGGAAATGTTGGTCAAAGGGTATAAACTTCTAGTAATAAGATGAATTAGTTCTGGGGATCTAATATGTAGCAGGGCGAATATAGTTAGTAAGACTGTATTACATACTTGAAAGTTGATGTCAAATGTTCTCATCACAAAGACTGGGACATGATGGTAATCATTTTGCAATGTACAATGTATCAAATCAAATCAAATCAAATCAAAAATACGTTGTATACCTTAAACTTACATAATCTTATAAGTCAAATCCATCTCAATAAAGCTGAAAAAATAACTGAAACAAAAATAAAATACCAACACCATAACACAATAAAATATTTTGTGTGTAAAAAAAGGGGAGAAGATCAATTATCAAACCAAGATGACATATGCCTACAACAGCATGAGTCCCCAAATGAGAAATGCCCAGCTAAGCCCTTCCTGAATTTCTAACAGAAATCATAAGACATAAGTGACTTGTTTTAAGTCACTAAAGTTGATTTTAATTTGGTATGGATGAATAGGTAACTATCCATACTATAAAAAGTATGATAAAAGAACATGAAAGCTGTCAAAAATGACCAGGCATATTTGAAAAGAAACCAAGAAAAGGATGTGGAAATGAAAAGTGACTGACAGCTGACTTATCAACAGAAACAATGTAAGCCTTTAGAGAGTGGAAGAATTTCTTCAGCGTGCCAAAAGAAAATCATTATCACCTAGACTGGTGGAAACAGTGAAAACATCCTTTGGGATGGCAAAATAAAGACATTTTTTCAGAGGATCAGGAACAAATTTGACTAGGAGCAGACATTCATTAAAGGAAATTTAAAAATATACATTATAGGGAGGAGGAAAATGATCCTAGAAGGAAAGTCTGAAATGTGGGAAAGAATAGAGAGAAAAAAGCAAATTTATAAAGTTTTAAAAACATAGCAACTGAAAATCAACAATGCTACCTAATGAAATTAGAAGAAAAGTGAAATATGGCACAAAAACAGACACTCAGATCAATGGAACAGAATAGAGAACCCAGAAGTGGACCCACAAACGTATGGCCAACTAATCTTTGACAAAGCAGGAAAGAATGTCCAATGGAATAAAGACAGTCTCTTCAGCAAGTGGTGCTGGGAAAACTGGACAGCGACATGCAGAAGAATGAACCTGGACCACTTTCTTACTCTATCCACAAAAAGAAACTCAAAATGGATGGAAGGCCTAAACATAAGACAGGAAGCCATCAAAATCCTAGAGGAGGAAGCAGGCAAAAACCTCTCTGATCTGGAGGACATTATGCTAAGTGAAATTAGTCAGTCAGAGAAAGACAAATATCATAGGACTTCACTCAAATGAGGACTTTAAGACACAGAACAGATGAACATAAGGGAAGGGAAGCAAAAATAATATAAAAACAGGGAGGGGGACAAAACAGAAGAGACTCATAAATATGGAGAACAAACAGAGGGTTACTGGAGGCGTTGTGGGAGGGGAGGATGAGCTAAATGGGTAAGGGGCATTAAGGAATCTACTCCTGAAATCATTGTTGCACTATATGCTAACTAACTTGGATGTAAATTCAAAAAATAAAATTTAAAAAAAAAGAAGAAAAGTGAAACAACCTAACGTACTTTAAACAACAAGCATGTAATTCAAGAGGAGGTGATTATAGACAAAGCATTCTAAAGTTCTCATGGGTTTTTTTTAGGAGAGGGAAAATATTGATTTTAGACTTCAAGTTAAATATTCATGTTAAGATTCCTAGATTCCTCAACCTAACAGAGGTTAAAATCCAAAGAAGATCAGAAAGGAGAAATGAGGAAACCTAAGAAGTGGGACCGGTAGGAGGCACAAAATCAAATGGCAGAAGTAACAACCACCATATGAATAACAGAAATTTGGATAAATAGACCCATACCTTCTGGGTGAAGGATTTTTATACAAAAAATTTTTTTAAATCCAGCTACATGTCATTTAAAAAGGAAAAAAAAATCTAAAAGGCAAATATGAAATACATCTATTAATATACCAAAAAAAGACATCACTAGAGGTAGTCTTTACATTATGAAAACACTGAAGTCTATCGATAAATTATTAGGATCAGTAAAAGTCTATTGATAAATTATTAGGATCAGTAAGAGTTTAGTAGATTTCTGCATATAGTGTCCATATACAAAAGTTAATTGTCTTTTCATATATGGACAATAAGTTAAAAATACACTAAAATATCATTTGCAATGGAAAAAAATACATCAGATACCCAGAAATGCATCTACAGAATATGTGTAAGACTTTTATGGGGAACACTATAAAGTGTTATTGGAAGATATTAAAGAACAAACTAAAAGAATAACAAATCATGTTTATAGATTAAAAAAAAAAAACCCTCATTATCATCAAGATAACAATTCCTGTCAAACTGATTTACGGATATTGACTTGATAAAATTCCAATCAAAATCCCAATGTTTATGAGTGTGTGTATACATGCACGGGACCCGAGAAATTTATTCTTACACATATTTAAGAATAGGCAAGACTCTGATAATTCACTAAGGTATAAACACCTATACATACTGTATTTTTGTTATAGTTCAATTTTAAAAAGCTTTTTTTTTTTAAAGGGAAAGAATAGGTGAGGAGACCACCACTACCAGCTACCAAGACCTATTATAAAGGTATAGTAACATAATGTGGTACTGATACAGGGATGTGCAAATAGTCTATGCATATGCAGGAATGTGATCTATGACAGATAAATGGGAGAAAGTTGATTTGGAAAACTATCTTGGAACAAATGTTTATAAAAAATAAACTTTATACTTTATATAAATCAATCCCATATGAAGTTAAATATGAAAAACTCTTTAACAAACTAAAAAAAATTAGAATAAAATGTGGAGAATATTTTCATGACCTCAGGGTATGGGTTATTTTCTTAAACCAAATACAAAAGCATGCAAACCATAAAGGAAAAGTCTGATAAATTCAACTGTGCTCTAATGTCAGTGTATCAATGGACACAATAAAAAAAATTAGAAAGACATGAAATAAACTGAGAGATGATTTTGCAGCATATAGAATTTGCAAAGGCTTAGTATCTAGAACATATAAAGAGTGGTTACAAATCAATAAGGAAAAGATGAGCAACTCAATGGAAAAATGGGCAAACACATGAATATTTCTAGAATAGAAAATCCAACCAGTCAATAAACACATTAACAATGTTCAACCTCATTAGTAATAGAAAAATGCAAATTAATGCATCAGTGACATATCATTTTTCACACAGTAGACTGGCAAAGATTTTAAAAAGTAAGACAACAAGGAGTAATTACCAGTGTAGATGGGTAGCCATAGGAACCCTTAATCACTACAGTGGGAGTATAAATTGTAACAACTACTTTGGAAAACCACTGGCAATCAGTAATCAAGTTGAATATATACATATCCTATGACCCACCTCTATGTGTAACCCCTCAGGAAAACCTCAGGAGGTATGCACCCTAAAATATATATAAATAATATTCATACAAGTATTGTTGGGAATAGCCAAAACTGTGGCAAAAGAAGGGATACACTGTGACTTAGGCATACAGAGCAGTGAAAACAGAATGAACTCAAGTTACATGTTGCAATGTTGATGCAGCCCACTAATAAGACATGAGCAAAAGAAGGAAGTTACAAAAGTACATAGGCAGAATGCTTCCATTTTTAAAAAATGAAAAGAGGCAGAATAAATAACACAGTATTTGAGAATGTGGATTGTTAAACTACAAAGAAGAGCCAGGAGGTGATAAAACATACTGGATTCTGGATTTAACTCTGGGCAAAGAGTACATAGGGCTTCAAAGGGTTTGGCGAAGATTTATTTCTTGAGCTAGATGGTGGATACATGGATGTTGGATTTATTCTTCTTTAAGCAGAATGTAAATATCAAATGTATTCCTTTCCGTGTAGAGCATGTCTCATATATTTTAAAGACATAAGAACAAAAATGACAACAGTTGCTACAAAACAAATAAAGCTGTTGGAGGCAGGGGGACAAGGGGTAAATAAACAGCCCAGGGGATTCTGCCAAGCGCCTCCAGTTGTGTGCCAGTGGGTCCTGTTGTTCTAAGTGTTTATTTGCACATCTGTCTTCCTGTTACAACCGTGAACCTGGTGAGGGCAGCGATTGTATTCCGCTCCCATCTATTTCCCCAGCCGTGGCATTGCTGACGTGCCACGAACATTTGTTGACTAGTGATGATGGCATCCTTCCTCATACTGCCTGAGCCAGAAAGCTGGAAGTCAACTCTGATTCCTTCTCTCCCTCACCAACCATAGCCTAGCATCCTAAGTAGCACATCCAAAATATATCTGAGATCCAGACACCTCTCTCTGCAAATGCTGCTATCCTCCCCTGCCCTAACCAGTCACCCTGCTTTGATACTTGTCTCCTCCAATCCCACTTCCACGCTGTAAACAAGCTATGTTCTCGGAACGCAAATCAGATCCACACCAGTACCTCACTGTAAAACTATTTAAACATAAAAACCAAACCATTATTGTGGCCTCCAGATCCCTACATGAACAAGCCCCTGCCCATCTCCTTCTGCCCTTCCTAATGTGCGTCCCTCAAGATTACTCCAGCCACATGGGACATCCCGTTCCTCCAAGGCCAACCATTCAGATGCCATACGTGCTGGAATGTTCTCTGCCAAGCTCTTCCCTACTTTTCTCAGGGTCAGCTCCTCTGCACTCTTTCAGCTTAAGGTTCTCCTTCCAGAAAAGCCTTCCTTCTTGTCCCTCTCCCCAAATACCTCCCCACTCCTTTATTCTCAAATTCTCTCATGTTTCCTTCAGATGACCTATCACATTGATTTTTCTCTTGCCTCTCTTTCATACTACATACGCTTCTGAGGGGGGTTGTTATTCTATGTCTAGAGCCCAGTAGTGTCAGGAATATAGTAAGTGTTCAATAAATATTTGAAGGGGAGGAAAAAAAGGAAGGCCAGATTAATTACAATGGAAGATACTCCTTGGATAAGTCATGAACCTTAACTGTGATCCCAGGTGTTTCCCCTCCTTTCCTGATCTCCTCACTTACCCACTCTCTCAAGGACAGGATGCTTCCTGTGGCAAAGGAGCTCAGAAGAACCAGTCCTCACCTCATTCTCCCCCGAGTTTTCTCTGTTCTCCCCTTTACCACACACACACCTGATGTGGTAGTTCTCTCACACTGATCCTATCTGTCACTTCTAAAGGAACGATATTATTGTCTCAATGTTCTCTTACATTCTCCAAGGGGCAGGTGCGAACTGTAAGGAAAAGACTGGAGATGCCCTGCCTTCCCTTGGCCACTCTTCCTTGCTTACCTGCCACATGGCTGTCTCTGAATCTGTACAAATGGTGACACTCAGCCCAGGGTGCTCAGTGTTGAGATGATTCTCAAACTACGAGAACAATTCAAAGGAAATGATATGGGCTCATTGGAGACGCGGCGATTATTTGAACAAGACCTCTAATCTCATGAACAGTTTTCCTAATTAACAAGTCCCATTTTCCCTTAACTGATGTATATTCTAATTTTTTTAATGACAGCTCATTCATAAAGAGGCAGAATCCAAAAAGAAAGCCTTCTGAGTTTTGTTCAAAGGATTCAAGTTTAAAAGCAAATAGGTGAAGGATTAAAGGAAGGTTCAAGTTTCATTAAGTAGATGTGTTGATGTTACGGGAAAGTAAAGTACAGAGGGCCAAGCCTTTCCATCCTTAGGAACACGTCGCCTGTAATGAATTCTGTACAGCACTGCTTTCAACCCTGCGATATTTCATTCATTGATTTTATTGTCAAATGAAAAGGCTCTGGTTCCAAGTGGCATTTCGTGAGACAGACGGGAGTGACCCAGACTTCATTACTCGGCACTTGCTCTCTGGATAATTTTAATGCTACGTGGGCGGAAAGCAACAGAAGAGGACAGTGTGCTGATTCCAACATCTGGAATCACTTTGGTTGAGGTCCATGCTACCAATACCCCCCAGCTATTCGATTCCATCTGTCTCTGGAAATTTGTGTGCCTGCCCTGGATGCTAATGAAGGGCCTGACCCCAGCTTCTCTCCCTCCCCTCTGAGGCTCGGAGGGGTGACTGGCACAGGTGGTCAATCTCGCTAGCTGTGGCAGAAGATGAGGACAGAGAAGGAGCTCAGCCTGTGGCGGGAACACCCGGGAAGCATCCCGATGAACTATTCAACAGCATGCTCTCTGCACTTGGCAACACCGGGGAGGGCACAGAGCACAGAGAGCCCCGTCTCTTCCGTGATCTTGTCACCTTTTCAATAGAAAGTTCATATTTTTTGCCAGGGGCTCTCTCCATCAACGTCTCTGACTCTACGCGTGCCTATCGAACCTCGTATGAGTTTCGGTCCCAGAGCACCAACTCTACACCCAACATTTTGACGCGGCTGTCACTCAAGTTCAGCATGTAACAGCCCAGACTCCAAATTTTTCCAGCACGGTTGCCATTTTTAGGCAACAAGTCTGGGGCCTTGAACTCAATTAATTATCAAACCCATTAGTAATTCCTTTGGAAAAAGAGGACATAAAGCCACAACATTTATTATTTCCTGGGAACAGGTGCTCTGAAAATATTATCTGTTTTATTTTTCCTAGTAGCTGAAGTACATATCTCAGTCTCCATTTTTCAGATGAGGAAACGAACTGACAGCTGAAGGGTACTCAGCTGGAAAGTGGCAGAACCAGACCCGGCCTTACACGGCTTACGGAAAGTCCAAAAGCAAAGCCCCAAAACATTAAGCAAAAATAATCATTACTGTTGCAATAATTATTAATAACTAATAATAATGAAAACCATTGCCTCTCTGTACAAAGCATATGCTCAAGTTCTCAATGTGTTTAAGGATTTATCACTGGTCTTTTCTTTCTCCGGTCGGTAATTTTTTGTGTCTTAACCATTTCATTTCCCACCAACGTGCCTCACCAAAAGGAATACCAACGTGGACTGGGGTGCCTGGGTGGCTCAGTCGGTTAAGCGTCTGAGTCTCGATTTCGGCTCAAGTCATGGCCTCACGATTCGTGAGATCAAACCCCGTGTCAGGCTCTGCATTGGCAGTGCAGAGCCTACTTGGGATTCTCTTTCTCCCTCTCTCTCTGCCCCTTCCCTGCTCATGCTCTCTGTCTCCCTCAAAATAAGTAAACTTAAAAAACAAAACAAAACAAAAAAACATGTACCAGTTGAATAACTGGTCAAGACTGAACACCAGACTGCCTGGGAAATTCTTTCGTTCAAGGAGGTGTGGGTCTTAGCTCCTTCCCTCTCTCACACTGCCAGTCCAGAGGACACAAAGAGGGAAAACACTGGGCTGATTTTATGATCAATAAAAAGAAGCGAAACCTCAGCTCAGGGCTAGTGGAATTAATGGGAAGACCACCCAACGAATTCAGTTACAGCAGAACTCAGCAGACATTCCTGATTCAGGGTCATGTCGGTCATGTTGGAGCTGATCCTTTGGGTTGGTTTGATATGTCCAAGCATACCCTAAGCAGTTTGGAGATGAAGATGGTAGTTATCTGCAGACTGTCCCGGGCGACTTTGCAGGATGTTGTACACAGAGAAAATCTCTACAGTTTGTAGCTGATGAAGGACAGGAAATAAGAGAACAAGGGCAGGAGAAGGT